TGATTCCTTCAGCCGCCGCTGCATAATTCTCAAAGACCCGTTTCGAAGGTCAGTAATCACCACCGTATCCATAGGACTCGTCATAGTCATCGTAACCCCCTGTCATGGAATCAAAGTAATGGGGCTCTTCCTGATAATACATCTCTTCTTGTTCTTCAGGAGGCGGCAATGCAGCAACCGCAGGAACCTCTGAGGGTTGTTCTTCGACGTGATACACAGCGTCTTCGCGAACATCACCGTCAGCCACAAAATTATCACGGCGAGGACTGTAACCACGCCCACGTCCACGACCACGAGGTGATGAGGCATAGCCACCACGTCCGAAACGTCCGGCAAAGTTGCGCACCGGAGTAGTGTTGTTGCGTTGCTGTCCGTCTGGTTGTCCACGTTGGTATTCTCGAGGAGGACTACGGTTGTACGTCCAGGTAGGAGCACGACTCCATCCTCCACGTCGGAAACGCTGGGAAGGCGGATAGTAACCAGCTCGAGGTCCATCGTCTTGTCCATAGGTACGACGATAGCCAGAAGAGCGTCCACTCCTTCCATGTCCGCGGCCTGAACGACCACGTGAAAACCCGCGACCACCACGGCCACGAGAACCTTGTTGGCGAGCGTTGTGATTCTTTTCTTGACGGGCAAAGAAACGAACCATCTGCACTGAGCCAATTACCGTAATGTCATGAGCGGAATCGGCAAACTTGTCTTTCCACTGGGGAAGCATCATGTTGTAAAACATCATCTTGAGAGCAGGAGCACCAAAAGGGTTCGCATTGTTTGCGCCAGGAAACTTCGCCATCAAGGTGTTGATGTACTCCAACCGAGACCACAAGGTCTTGCAATCGAGCTTGAAGGGCTTTGTCGCAGTCTGCAGGTATCGAGTCTGATCAGCGAGATCAGTGTCTTCAACGAACTTCGCAATGAACGAAGTAATACAGGCATCGAAATCAGCAACAGCTGCACCAGGACGCGCTGCTCGAATCACGTTCCACTTGTCTCGAGCAGAGCCTTGAAGACATTTGACAAAGAAGTTAGCCCTCAATGTACCCGTGTCCAAATTCAAGGCTGAGTTGCCGGTCACTTGATCGAACTCCTTGATGACCCGAAGGACGTGTTCCGGTTCTTGTTCGTCTGCCAGTACAATCATGTCATGCTTACGCTTGACGTTGTTACCAGCATGTTGCCAAGAACGGAACAACTCGGTAGTAGCGACCTCGCCAGCATTATACTCAGAGACCAAGGGAATGACCGGATTCTTGCCCGACTGACCCAGCGTCGTCATGGTGAGATAATAAACCTAAAAGTAAATAACAAACAACAATACTTGTGGCTTTATGGTTAGTAAGAGTCGCAAGTAATGACAATGAAAGAAAAAGGAGTAACTTCGTTTTGAGTTACACCCTTGAGTTACCGTTGTTAATAGAAATCGAGTGAATTTTCGAAATTGTTTGACAATGGCCAAACGCCTAGTATACGGCTGCGTAGAATGTACGCAGGAAGTTTCTTTTGCTTGATGTGCAAATTCCAACCGAACTTGCTTCTGAATTCAGAGTGAACTACGATCGGAATATTGTGAGATTAGACTTAAAACTAGCGTTAAAGCGCCACGTCATAGACGTGCGTATGTCAGTAACCCAAGCCTCTCGAAAAGTGGTGTCGTATATGAAAAATACTAGTGTGTGTGGATTTGTAGATTGGCACGAAGAATGGTTAGTGCAAAACTATGGCTAAAGACCCAAAGGAGGGCATCTGGATCGAACCTGTAATACTCACCTGCATTGATAGTTGATGATTGTGCGGAGCCACATCAATGACAAGACCTATATGAGCAGAATATGAATGAAACGTGGAGGATCAGAGATGTACATGTAGCAATGCCAATAGCTGTAGAATCTTTCAGAAGAATCCGCGCACAGCCAATAACAATGTTTTACGTATCTGAACAACTCCAGCCACCATTCCTGGTATTCCTCCTCCCACGGCCTTGTGTCCAGCTTTGGCTAATATTTGACCAAACGATTTTGGCTGTCGTTGGCTCTCTGCTTGCTTAAAATCAGCCGAGCCGTGCCATTGCTCCCTCCGATAGCATCATCTTCTGTATTACTATTTCATAATCTGGCTTTTCGTCGATCCAGTGCTGCACACGCCACGGGGAGACCACTGCTGATGTACGCGGAAAGGCCACTATCCAGACTGCTGCAACTCACACCATCGAGCCGTTGGCTGTCTCTGCTATTATGCCACAGCAGCAAGAGACCCAATAGAAAATGGAATCGACTAAGATTCCATCGGATATTCATTCGCCGTCTCGTCGTTCTTTGGCTCTTCATTATTGTGGATTGATTCTATTCGATTATAATACGTTAGTCTGATGATTGCTGTCCCCTTTGTTCTCTTTCCTTCTTTAGAAAAGTAAACTCAGAGCAAGAATGCCGTACTGTACTGCACCACCCTCATTGCGGATGTGGCGATGTGGCGATGTGGCGATTTAAACAAAAACAAAAAACAAATACTAAATAGATACGTTAAGGAGCGAGGGGGGTGAAGCTAGGTAAAGCAGTGGCTGCGGTGGTGGGTGGCTGTTGTGGTGGGCGTACGGGGAGAGCAATGAGGACGCGAGCACGGCGATCACAAGGAATTGCCGTTGGCTTTGAGAAAACGAGTTAAAGCCAGCAATACTGGTAAATAGATATGAAATCTTTCTGTAGCACCCAAGAGAGTTTATCTTACCTTTGGTAGTTAGGGTAAACCTAGGGTTAAAGTTCATTTTAATGAAAGACATTACATGTATATACGAAACAAATATTACCATATCTACCTGGATTGCACAGCGTCTCCCATTACCAGCCATGGTGGGATCATGAGGGACAAAACTGGGGACAAACGGCAGTTCCAAAGGCCTGAACTTTCGGGATCCAAAGAAACATAACATAAACGATTCACTATTTCTTATGCTGGAATATGTTCCCATCCTCATCACTGCTGTCTTCAAACTGAAATTGTGCTTCCTCATCTTCACTAAACGTCCAATCGCCTTGAGAGACACTGCCCTGTAAGAAGCCTGCCTTGGGGGCTCCAACTGGGCTTGACAAAGAAGTTGTGATGGGGCCTGTGGATGGTTTGGAATTGGGGCTAGTAGGAGCAATGGAAGGCTGAAAATTTTTGCTAGGTTGGGTGATTGGAGAACCACTCGTGATGGACGGTCTGAAGCTCACACTTGGTTCTGAACTGGTACTAGAGCCACCTGAAGGCTGATAGCTTTCACTGGGCATGACACTGGGCAAATCACTTGTGCTCGAAATAATGGAAGGTCTGAAGCTCACACTTTGTTTGGAACTAGTGCTAGAGCTACTGGAAGGATGAAAAATCTCACTGGGTTGGGTGCTAGGGGAATTGCTGGCAGACAGCCATAGTGCTATAGTGGCAACTGCGCCAGGACCTGTTACAGAAGGCATGGTTGGAGTTGCGGTGGTTGGAGTTGCGTGGTGGGTGCAATCGTGGTCGGAGTGGCAGTGCTGGGTCTAAGGTTGTGGGTCCGGCGGTGGTTGGAGTTGCTGTGGTTGGATTTGCCACGGTTAGCATTTCCGTGGTTGGGGTTGGCCCCCGGGTGGTAATGAATTTTGATCGGGGGTCGGAAGTGGCTAGTTTGGGGCTATATATCGGGGTGTATCGCTGGGGGGTGCTGGCGCTGGATTTCCCCGGAGAACAGGTGGTGGAATGCCGCGCGTGGTTTCGGTAGAGGGTTGCTTGGGGTCCGTCGGCTGATGTGTTAGGGGTGGCCGAGTGTGGGTTGGGGCAGATGTATCACAGTTTCGTGGTGGGCGTTGCTGTGGTGGGTGTGCTGGTGGTCGGAGTGGCAGTGCTGGGGCTCAAGGTTGTGGGGCTGGCGCTTGGATTCCCCGGCGAAACAGTGGGTCCCGCGGTGGTTGGAGTTTCGGTAGTTGGTGAAAAAGTTGGAATTGAAGAAGGGACGATTGAATCACTGGGAATGAATGATGGTTCTGCTGATGGGGTTGTTGAAGGTTGAGATGAAGGTGCAAATGTTGGAGAAGAAGATGGTACTGGAGTTGTAGTACTGGTTGCTGTAATTGATGGTGCCGAGATATTGGAAGCTCTGAACACATTTGTTGTGGGCAGGTTTGGCACATAATCGGCGACAAAGGTGTCGTAGTTTGCACGTTGGATGGCCAAGTCCACCAGCTGGGTGTCCACTTGCTGCAGAAACCGACCACGTAGTCTTCTTCTTTCATGACTTGATGTATCTTCATGATCATCATCACTGGTACAAGTAGGGGCACTTTGTTCTTCGCCATGAAACCCCGCTGTGGATGGTGAAGCTGCTATTTGAATGACATCGGATCTTGTTACATTGACTGTCAATCCAACAAATCTAAGGGTTTCTGTTTCAAGTTCTTCTTGTCTGGCAAAATTCCCAAAGGACCGGGCAATCTGCAATTCCCAAAACTGACGGAGTTGTTCAAATAGCTCAGCGGTCTCAGTTGCATCGGGAGGCCTAGAAAGACCTGCTACTCTGAAGTTCCCAGAGGTTGTGGTCTGAGTTACTTCTTTTTCAGGTTGGCAGATTACCCCAGAAAGACACAGGATACCAGCCAATCCACCAGCACCGACTGCTGCTCCTATGGCCCCAGCAGCAACTGAAGACCCCCCTGCAGCACCTTGTGTTACACCCCCACCGCCAAAGGAACCCTTGTTAGAATTCTTGCGAGCAATCTCAGAAGCTGTGTTGGACCCCCGCATGGTGTAATTCGTGGATTCATTGCCTGTGACTGCAAGTGCATTTTCAACAGGGCTTTCATGTGCGTTGTTTTGTTCTTCCCTTGCAAAAATGTTCCTGCTCGTGTAGCTTTCCCTAAGTTCTTTCTGCCCTCTACTTCTCAGAAGAAATCGCCGCAGCCTTTGTTGTTGTGTGTGTGATTGTCTGGTGGAATCTTCGTTGGTACCACTGGTGTGTTTGGAATTGCCAGTTGTCGAGTTTTGCGAGCCACCATCTTGCTGTTGTTGTCTATTTTGTGGATGGTTTTGGCCGTGGTTCACAACGTCAGGATGCTTTCTTTTTCTGATGAACCCAGTGCGAGCCCCTCTGATTCTCTTCCTTGACCCGTCATTCACAAAAGTGGTGTTTTGTCCTGGATTGCTTTCAGCAGAAGCAAATCCATGAGAACCAACAGAAACAGAAAAGCCTCCCAAACATGAAAGTAAAAGCAAGCGACCCAATCGAACAGATAAAAATCTGTGCTTGCATATCCGCATCATGTGTAACTCATTCCGAAAGCAATTTCGAAGCCTCCTTTGAACCCCTGCACAGTTGGATGATGCTAACAACGCCAGAGACTATACAACTGGGTGGTATAGAAGATGGTTTCGCTCGAAAGATGGTACTGTAATGCTCTGGTTCGCCTCTTGGTGCTTTGGCGTTTTCGTCGTCCTGCAAAGAGATCGATGAGAAAAGACAAGAGAGGTGCGCCATGTCTCCAGTCTCGAGTCGAGCAAAAAAGAGCTCGAGAAAGCATCAGAGGCGGGACTGGCTGTCAGTTGGGAATGCAAAAACCTGAACCCTCTGGTTTGCCGAATAGTTCTTGTTGCAACGGCTGGGAGCTTTGTGGCTTGTGGCGCTTGTGCGCTTGTAATGATGAACCGTCCGAAGAGGAACAGCGTTTGCGTTGAAGTACGGGCTGTTAGAGCAGGGAAGGTTGTAGTAACAGTACGGTACCGTACCGGTACCGTAATGGCGAGTGCAACCATCGGGCCAGATTCAGCTGACTGAGTGACAGTCACTCGTCCTTCTAGAATCGCGCACCTCCATCAGCAGCCTCCTCCATCAATGAGCTACCGTCGACTGCTCTCCGATCTTGACAACCCACGCGGTCGTCCATTACGCCGCAGAATGGAGAAGTGGACTGAACCTGACGGCAACAAATTAGGATGCCTCTTGGCTGTGGACATGTTCGCACTAACTAGCTACTGGTAGCAATGATTGATCGTTCTCGCGCCGCTGAACGGAGCCTTCTCGAGACAATGCCAAGTGACAACGTGATGACACATGAACTGACGACCGAGCAAGGTTCACCAATTGGAGAATGGGACAAAAATGAGGCTAGCTAGCTAATAGTCTCTCCGTTGACTTCATTATTGGTGACCAATGATAACTTCTACCTCTTGAGTATTAGTATGATGGCTTTGACATACCGTACGCAAACAACACAGGTGATACATTAGCTAGAACCGTGGCACGATCTGTAACCCTTGTTATAGACACTATCACTTGATATTTGCTTGCAAAGCATCTTTGCCCTGAATGGATTTCGGATCTATGGTGCCGGAACGCAAAGCACTTCCATGAGAAGATCACGGAGTACATGCATGGCATCGACAGCCACGCCAGCAGAACGAACACCGATGATGAGGTACCGAGTCGAACCCGAGGCATTGCCATAGTTACTGGGACTGGTCGCTCTACCGGTAATAGGCGACGTTGTCCTCCTGTTTATGAAAGGTAGTATAGAGAACCGGTATACTAGGCGTCCGAAGGTGATGGAACAGCGAGCGCAGCCATTCTGAGACGTATTTAACTAAAGAAACTCAGGTGCAGTCTACAATCAGCCAACATGGTCATTGTCGGGGATGTTGATCATCTCTTGATCGAGTTCAGGGGCCGGCACGATTTCGACAGTACAGTCGTACCACTTCGTACGTTCGGGAGTGAGAGCGAGCAACTCGGCCGAAACCGTGACCCGGACAACTTTGCGGCAGTGAACTCCGACACCTGCAGGGAAGGGAATGTCGTCAACCCATAGGCCATGTGATAGAGAATCTCTTGAGTTGCGCACTCCCATCAATCCAAGAATGAGCGCCATTCCACAAACGAGGCACGTTGTTGCTGGATACGTGTAGCCATGACCCCACGATTGCCCAATTCAGATGTTTTTTAACAACTCGTGCCGTCTTCAAATTGAGGATTTTCCTTTGTCTGCACGTGCTCTTGAATTCGCTACACCTTCATCGGTGTCCTTCTTCTTATTGCTGAATTTTTCGCCTTTAAGAGCTTTCTTTGGGGCTTCCGCAATTGCAACAGGGGGTGATTCCACAACCTCTTCCTCATGGCTATCCTGGGCCTGTATAAAAGAGTTTACTGGTGAAGATGTTGCTGATAGCAACAATGCAATGGAAGCAACTCCTTCAGCAGGTGGGGCAGAAACGGCGACGCCTCCAGGAGGAGTTGGTCGTGCAGTCGTTGGAGGTGCGGTCGGAATATTGCTTGGATCGGAACTGGGGACAGAAGAGGGCAAAGTACTTGGATTGGTGCTTGGGAGGGAGCTTGGATTGGAACTGGGGACAGAAGAGGGCAAAGTACTGGGATTGGTGCTTGGGAAAGAGCTTGGATTGGAACTAGGAGTTGAACTGGAGGCAGAAGAAGGTACAACACTAGGGAAGGTACTTGGATATGAGCTTGGATTGGAACTAGGAATTGAACTGGAGGCGGAAGAAGGTACAATACTAGGCACGGTATTGTCATTGGAGGGTGCGGGGGATGGTGCATCAGTTGTGGTAACTGTGTAGATCGCTGCCGTGGCTTGAGAATATGGGCTTGTTGTGGGACTGTTGGGTACAAGGAAGTCGTCAAGAAACGCTTCAGTGTCCGCATCACTGAATGAAGCATCCACGGCAGCTCGGGAAGTAGCTTCGGTAGTATCCGAAAAGAGAGCCACGGTTTCAATTGCTATAGTGGATATGAGATCAGTTTCTCCCGAGGGAACATTTGTGGTACCAGTGACATCCAGAGTAAACGCGAGGAAAGTTTCTGAAAAGTCGGCACTTAGAACACTGGAAAGGAACGATCGAAGTTGAACCACTGCTAACAAAATTTCACTTTCTGTAGGTTCAGCTTGGGTACCCGTAATAGTAATGGCCATTTCTCCACTGTTTTCAAAGAATGGCAAAAACGCAGTTGGTTGTGCTGATATGCTGGGAGAAGGACTGGGCTGAGCACTGGGGGTTGAACTGTTCGTGTTCAAACTTGGAGAATTGGTGGGTCCAGCAGTGGTGGTTGGAGAAGGACTTGTACTGTTCAAACTGGGGGCGTCACTTGGCTCAACAGAAAAGATTGAGCTGGGGATTGAACTGGGCGAGGAACTTGGGCCATGGCTTGGCATGACGCTTGGCATGACGCTTGGACTACCAGAGGGGCTGTCGCTGGAACTGGGGCTTGGGCGTGGGGAAGCACTTGGGATGGCGACCGAGCTGGGCGAGGAGCTTGGGCTATAGCTGGGGCTGGCACTGACGCTTGGCATGGTGCTTGGACTGCCAGAGGGGCTGGTGCTGGGGCCCATGCTCGGGGAGGCACTTGGCATGGAGCTTGGTGTCTCTGATGGTACCGAAGAAGGATTTTTGGAAGGTACAAATGATGGAGTAGTAGATGGTACTGGAGTTGTAGTGGTAATGGCTGTGATGGCTGGTGCTGAGATATTGGAAGCTCTGAACACATTTGTTGTGGGCAGATTTGACACATAATCTGCCACAAATGTGGTGTAGTTTGCGCGTTGGATGGCCAAGTCAACCAGCTGGTTGTCCACTTGCTGCAGAAACCGACCACGTCGTCTTCTGTTAAACATTGCTGTCTCTTCATGATCATCTTCACTGGTACAAGTAGGGGCATTATTTGCTTCTCCAAGAAAACCCTCTGTGGATGGTGCAGCTGTTACTTGAACAACAGTGGAATTTGTCACATTGACACTCAAACCAACAAATCTAATGGCTTGTGTTTCAATTTCTTCTTGCCTAGCGACACCTCCAAAGGAGCGGGCAACCTGTAATTCCCAAAACTGACGTAGTTGTTCAAAGAGCTCAGCTGTCTCAGCTTCCTCTGGCGGCCTTGTTAGACCTTCTACAACAAAGGTTCCAGCAGTCACAGTCTGGATTTCATCCTCTGGAAGTTCACAGATGACCCCAGCAATGCACAGAATGCCTGCCAATCCACCAGCACCAATTACTGTCCCAAGAGCTCCAGAAACTGCTACACCACCCGCTGCTTGCTCAGTTGGAACAACCCCGCCCTTCTTTCGTGCGATTTCTTCGTTGGTTGTGTTGCCCCCCACGATGGTGGTGTTGGTCGCATTGCGGCCTCCTACTGCTGCACCAGCATTGTTATTTGCTTCCCAATGGTTGGCAGTGAGTGGTTTCACTTCCGTTTCTTCCCGTGCAAAAATGTTTTTGGCCTTGGGGCTTTCCACGTTTTCCTTGTGTCCCCCGTTTCTGAGAAGAAAGCGCCGTAGTCTCTGTTTGTGTGTTTGGTGTGACTGTCTAGACGAAATGCTGGAACCTTCATGGGTACCAGTGGAACCTCTAGTGTTCATGTTTGTTGGAGGTGGTTGAGTTGTGCCCTGTGTATGGTTTTGTCCACTGGGCATGCCCTCGAGTTGCTTTTGCGGATTGATGACGGCCCCAGTGCGAGCTCCTCGAATTCTCTTCCTGGAGATGTTCGCTGTGGTGCTGTTTTTTGCTGCAGCATTGGTTTGTTCCGCAGAGGCCACTCCAACCACACGACTAACGGAAACCATAGCAAGGATCAACAAGAGACCCAAATGGGACTGCCACCTCCCCAATCGAATGCGCGACTTTGTACACTTTCCCGTGCGCATTGCCAATGCCAGATCTCGTTTCCGCCCAAGGCGTCGATCACAACTTTCCTGCGCTCTTCTATGATAGTAGTTGTTTTGGCTGTTGTCGATTCTGACTACTGTAGCAGGAGGTCAGAGCTTCCTCTTTCCTCCAAGTCGAGTCCTTCAAATCTATCGCCTCGTTACAACATGATGGTGTGGCCTTTGCGCTTACTTACTTGCATTTCGAGGTGCACGTTGGCGTCCGTTTCGGGAAGTGATTTCAGATAGCCTTAACCCTACCATTTAAGGACAAATCCAGACGCGTGTACGCGGGACACAAGACACAAGATATTCCGATTCCGATCTTAGCTCTCTCTGATCCACACTAATAACCACACATCTAACTTTTTAAAAATTTCCGATCTTTCCCTCATCAAGATACCACCTCGCAGCACCACGCAGCCCTGGTCTCGTTTTGGTCCTCTTGTGTTAGTTCTGTGAAGACGACAACAGAGAAATCTTCTAGCCTGTTTTTGTTAATGCAGACCTGGTCTCGTCTTGTGTTGGTTTTATCAAGACGAGGACAACAGCGACAACCGAATACAGGACTCTTCAGTAGCTTCCCAGTTTCTCTGAAAGATCTCCCGATGAAACGCCAAGCCTTTCCCTCGGATGATGATGGAGACACGGTCCACAACAACAACAACAACAACAACAACAACAAGTCCAGCAAGAACGACATGGCGGTGGTGATGGATGGCAGTCAAGGCGAAGGTGGAGGCCAAATTCTGCGCAACAGTGTGGCATATGCCAGTATATTGCAACGTCCACTCCGCATTCACAGCATTCGAGCCAAACGGCGCAATCCTGGATTACAAGCGCAGCACTGTGCGGCCATTGGTCTGGCCGCCGAGCTGGGAGAAGGTGTCTTGGAAGGAGCCACACTCAAGAATACCGAGATTACCTACCACCCTCCCTCAACGACCGACGATCCCAAAGAAGAAGAAGAACGGACGGTGGAGGGCATTGTGAATACGGCTGGATCCATTTGTCTCTTGCTACAAGCGGCTCTTCCCTGTGCTCTGTTAGGGTCCAACCAAACGACCAAACTAGTACTGAAAGGAGGGACCAATGCCAAGATGGCGCCTCAATACGATTACTGGGAACGCATATTCCTTCCTACATTTCAGCAATGGTTGGGCGGAGCCGACAAGGTACCTATTGAAGCTACAGTCTTGAAGAGGGGATATTATCCAAAAGGCGGAGGACACATTGAAGTCACAGTGCCATCCTTACTGCCACAATTGCCAATACCGCCCCTACAACTCACAGACCGAGGCACGGTGAAACACATCCAAATCCGATCCTTTCATGCTGGAAAATTGCCCCGCCACTTGGCCACCAAAATGGCAAAATCGGCCCAGCAACTGCTCGAACAAACCTTTGAGAAGGATAGTATTCAGATCGATTTGGAAATTGTCACGGAACCCAATGCCGTTGGAAGTGGACTGGGGATTCTGATTGTGGCCACTACCACTACGGGATGTCGATTGGGCGGATCCGCGCTCTGTGATCCCAAACAAAAGGCCGACGAAGCAGGACGTGTAGCGGCTCAAGAGCTCGTTGATACATGGAATGACGGAGGATGTGTCGATGAGTGGATGCAAGATCAACTGATCTTATTCATGGCATTTGCCAAAGGAACTTCTACCATGCTGACGGGATCTTTGACGCTGCATACCCAGACGGCCATTGAAGTGGCCCAACAAATGGTGCCCGGAGTTAAGTTTGACGTGCAGCGTTTGGAAGAACCAGCAGCAGCCAGCGCACCCAAGAGTGATGGTGGTGGCTACGGAAGCGATGGAAGGATCTCTGGGAAACATCTCATTACGTGTCACGGAATTGGATACACAGGAAACTGAATTGAATTCTGTTTGCGGTTTACCGGTACTAGCTTGTGGGATGGCGTCCAAACTGCACTGAATGCAATGAAAAGCTGGTGTTTGCCGGAAACCGAATGCTGAGGGTGTTGAGCCAACAAGAAGACTCTGGATACATCCATACATGTCCATCATGTAGGACAGACAGCGTAGGCGTGCTGGTGCCCTGCTCAAGAAAATCAGAAATAGCTCTAGAAATTCGCTTCATAAGCTGCACCGCGCGCCTGGAACCAAAGCTGCTAGCCGCCTTGAACAAACACTCGTACGAGCACTGCAAAGTAAGTGGACACCACTAAAATATAGGAATGCTACGGCAACAGTTTTGTTGTTTGTATCAGGGTTTTTGGTCAATTGTTGCGGAAGCTGTTCTGCCGAGGATGCCACTTCACACAATACACTGTGGTAGCGGTAGCGACTGCTGCCAAGACAACCTTTCAACACCAAACGAAGTTGCTCTACTGTTCTTCTAAGAGGTGTTGTATTAGAAGCGATCAGATCAGCTTTTTGGTTTCTCCTACCATGGTGAAAATAGCCCAATCTTAGCGAATCCTGGATCCTTTTTAGCCCCCAAACGTCTCCCACCGCCCACACTCTTCGGCAGGTTCTACCGGTACCGGTATGGCAAATCAGGCAGCATCATTTGGGCCTGTTTAATTAAAAGAGGCAGAGCCATCATCAAATCGGCCATTCCCATGGCTGCATCAAGCACATCATCGGCTTGGAAACGACGATGGCGGCTCTCTTGCAAATTCTCATTGAATACTCGAATCGCTTCAGCCAGAACCTCAACGGTTCCATCTTGTTCAAACGTCTTGTTCTTGGCTCGGGATTGTGCAAGAAGGCGGATGGCTTTGTCCAAAGAAGTGATCATTGGATCGAACTCGTCCTCGAGCGCCCAACATACATCCAGAAGCTCAGGTGGATGATCTTCCATTCCATCGGTAATAAGTACATTCGTAGCTAGCTAGCAAGCAAGTAATCGATACATTCAGGTGCCATGAAGCTTGTAGACTGGTTGCAAGTAGTGGCAATCACAACGATGATTCTCCACAGTCCATCTACTTTTTCTTCGCTGCGTTTGTATTCCTCCATGGTCTTTGAAACAAAAGCTGGGCGAAGGACAGACAGGTGAGCGTGAGAAGTAGAACGAACCAGGGGATGATGAATCGACAGCCGCAAGAAATGGTCTAACCTTCCACATCCTCTCGAGTAAGAAGCTCGTGTTCCTCTCCGCCGCCATTGTCCGGTGCTCCTGCACCGTTGGCTCCGACTTCTTCCATCATTGTTTCGACTTCTTCCGCCATTGTTTGGTTGGGAATATCTTTCCGGTGGAAGTTTTGTGTCAAGCTGCGCAAGCCAACTGACAGGAGCGTTCCTCAATCGTGGGTGAGATTAACTCCAAAACGCCCCTATTTTTAACCATATAAATAAAAATACGCTGCATCAAAGGGGAGCTGCACCACCTTGAACCTTGAACCTTGAGCCACCTTGAACAAAACACTCGTACAAGCAGTAGACATCACTAATTAAAGGTACTAGTTTAAGGCTAGTGTTGAGCCAGCGAAAATTTACACTTTTTCTGAACCTCAGAAAAGAACATCACCATGGCCACTGCCGACGGCATTTCTAGTAACACCCCCAATATTATGCACCGAATCAGTAGTAATGGCACTATAGATGAGGGGATAACAAGTCAAATGGGTGTATACCCTTTCTGAATAGTCGAAATCGTCCATTATTGCTAGCCATCGTGTTGTTGTTAGATTTCGAAAAACCAGAGCTGCTGTTGTAAAGGTGGTTGTCGCCGCTGTTAGGCTCCACGGAAGTGGCTCAACACCCTTGCATTCGCTTCAGTAGTATGTCGGAGGACACCTACAACATCAACAAGCTCATCGACCAGGCATCAGGCATCGTTGCAGTGTCAGATGGCAAGGTGAAAGTTCCACAAGCCATGTCGCTAGTCGGAATCAGAACACCTGACCGGAAGAACATGACACTGTATCAGCGCTGTCGCCGCAGAGCCATCAAGCTGCAAAAGGATGCCCAGAAAGCAACACCACCATCTCGAGTAGTGCAGATTGTTGCTGTTAGCTCTGATGTATCAACAGTTACTGGCCCAAATGACAGCGGATCAAAAACCATAACAAGTCACTCTTCTTCCAGTTCCTCTGATCCAGAGAAAGATCGACTTGATGCAGCTCTGGCAGTGGCATCTTTGTCTGCTGCTGGAGGAAATGTTAGCAAAAAGAGGCACAGGCGAACAGCCAAAGAAGTGATGAGAGCACATGCAAAAACAGCGTCCTTGACCAAGAGAGACAAGAATGCCATGAAACTGATCACCAAGCGGATTGTGAAGACCAACAAACTGCCAAAGGGACATCCAGAGAAGAAGACTATTCGAGTAATCTGTGATGAAATCAATTCCAGCTACAACGCCAATGTCAATCCTAAAACAGCAGCACGGTATGTGAGGAATGGTCTTGTGGGAGTTTCCCCACTGAAGAGAGGTCCTGTTGGCGACTTTCCTCCCCGCGTCTACAAAGCATTGAAAGGAGCATACACAACTTACTTGAAGTTAGAACAGGCCGAAAGCAAGAAGCAATCCAACACAAAACAGATGTCTCGCCTAGTCAACTGCACTGTGAATAAAGCTGGATTTGACAAAAGAGGAGACGGTCTCACCTTGAAGTTGAAGAAAGAAACAGCAGATGAGTTTGAACATTAGAAGGCAAACGTCATGGAACACAGGAGGCTGCAGTGGACCACTCACTACACACTGAACTACTGGTTCGACAGTTGGAAGGATACTTTGATCGAGTTGGGCTTTGCAAGAGAGAAGACCGCCGCTGATTCACATGTCGATGACAGTGGAAATGCAATCGGTGAACTCGTCTTCTTCGAAGATCGGATTATCAACTTTGATGAAACCGACGGATCACTCGATGACACAACAGGATGCAGAGGTGGAAGGCCCTCACTTATCTTCATGTGCCCCGACATTGCTGGAGGTGGAACAGCAGTGAATAAAAGTGGCTATTCATGCACAGTCATTTGTGGGAGCACAGCTGCCGGTAATCCAATACCACCGCATTTTCAGTTGAAGACATTGGCAACTGCTTCTGAAAGAGAGCGAATTGGTATTGATTGGTTCGAGTATACCAAAGATATCGTTGGCAAATGGGGCTTCGATGAAAGGAGGACAATGCCCTGCACTTTTGGAATGAATGAAAGAGCAGGTATGAATGCAGTTGAGCTTGACAAGTACATGAAGAACTCAATCCTTCCTCTCTATCCAGATGTTGAGGACAAACCTTTGAAGCGAGTGCTGCTGAAGGCTGACAGTGGACCTGGCCGAATGAACCTCGAGATGCAAGCTGATCTCCGACTGCAAGGAGTGTATATCACACCCGGTGTTCCCAATTCCACAAGCATCACTCAAGAGACCGACCAGAATTATGGCATCTACAAGAGTTCTTTTCGCGAAAACCTCAGATCATTGTCACAGGTCAGGTTCGACAAAGGCCTCACACTGCAGGTCGCTGACTTGCCGCTTCTTGTTTTTGGTAGGAAGTGTCCGTCAACAGGTGTCCGGCTAAGGGATTCCTTCTCAGCAGCCTTCAGCGTCATAAGAAACCGGTCTGTCTGGAAGAAATGTGGCGCTGTTCCCCTTACAAGAGAACCCTTGTTTTTGGCGAGTCTTCGACATGAAGTTCCTGATGACCGAGCTGCATCAGTAGGCGCGGCTGGTGGGGAAGAAGAAGATCCAGAAGTCGCGAAGCTCAAGAAAATAGAAGAGTTGAACCATTTTTTCTGTGATTTCCTTTCCTCGAATGGGATGCTGGGAGACAAGTTGAAGAGAAAGGCTCCGGTTCGATCCACGTTCGTGAAGGTGACACAGGCCCATTCCAAAGAGCGAATCAAGGCCATCAAGGATGCCAAAACTGCTGGCCAAATGTTTTATGCCACAGGTGGTCGGCACATGAACACAGATGAATTCTTCAAAGCCAGAGAACTCGCCAACAGAGAGGAGAAGATCAAAGCCCTCGAGGATGATAAGAAGGCGCGGGTTGTTGCGTATGACACAGAGGTTGCTGCGAAGGCATTGATTCAGCAGAAGGGAGAGCTCCAAGCCGATGGAAAAGGATTTGTTGTCGCAGACCTCAAAATCCTGGCCAAATGGAAGAAAATATCTCCCCTCCCATCCAAGAAAGCAGACCTGATAGTGGCCATTCGCATGACCGATGTACCACTCCCTGCCAACCCGTGGACGGATGCTGAAGAGAAGGAGCTTGCCGATATGAAGTCTGTGGACTTGCAAGTGAAAGACACGGCGATTGGTGTGGCAGCGTGTCAAATGGCAAGGGCGGTGACCAACAGCATGTCCAATTTGGACCCCCAAACAAGGGCAAAGCTCAAAGCCGCTCTTCAGGCATCGGAGTATGGTGAACCTACTACTACAGAGTAGCTTTGCATGGCTCTAGAGGCAGCTGAAGTTCTCCGAAACAGCGTCGTTTCATCATGGTCGATGTTGTTGTTCTTTGTTGTTTTTCTTCGATTTGTGTCAGTCACTAGAAAAATGGATTGGTCTTGGCTTAGTCCCTAACAAATAAGACTGTATCCGGTTAACCCAGTAAGCTTTCACTTAAGGATTTTACATACGATTTTACTAAGCTGGAGGTGATCGAACGACTTCAGGTGATCGTGTTCTGAACACCTCTAAGTAAACTCAAACGCACTAAGTACCGAAAGCGCGCGCGCGTCCATTCGTGCATCGCGTGTGCTAACCGGTAAAAAGATCATGAGTCTGTGACACCCCTCGAATTCTGGATTCGGCATGAAGATCTCACAATTCCCAAACCTGCACAGACGATCACTTTTTTCGATCACTTCCTTCATTGTCATTGCCGACAACTGCTGACCATGGCCGATGAGCAGCTCACCCTCACCGTAATCACCAATGCAGAAGATGAGGATCTCGCTGCCAACGACAGTTACATTGACCTAAGAGATAATAACAGTGCCAGCAACAAGACCTCTGCAGCCATCAAGCAGTTCAACCACTTTCTCACGGGATACTGTCATTCGAAAGGTTATGAAGGTATCGTCCATGCCAACCAGATACCCTATGAAGGATTGGAGGGTATCCACGGCTTCGGCCGGTATGGAACTGAACATCACCAGAAATGGTGGAGCGATCTTATTGGCTGCTTCTTCAACCACCTCGCTTTCAACGCGTACAAATACCTGAACAAGGAGAAAGGTCTCATCGCCTACGATAGTGCAACCGGATATGCAAGTGCAATCAAAGTCTACTTCCAAAACAAATTTCGCTATAAGCAGCCCATCCTTGTTTTCATGGACCCGTCATGGAGGAAGCTTCGCAATCTACTCCTCGCCAAGTGTAAAGAACGAGCCCGCAAGACTGGAGACCGTGTCAGCAATTCGAAGACCGCCTCGACCAATGACGATCGAATTGCAATGGCGAACGCATGCTTCTGTCTTGGAACATCGGATTCAGCAGAATTCCATACCCTCAACACTTTCGCGTATCATTTGATAGGCAGAGGATGCGAGGTTTCCATTCTTAAGGCGATAGATCTAAGCCTGGTCAACGCTACACAGATACACCACAACCGTTATCTGATTTGTGTTTCTGTTCAGAGAGATAAGGGAGGTGAGCTGCAAGAGTTGAACCTCTATCCCCACCAGTACTCCGTCCATCAAGACCCCTATTTCTCTCTGATCTACTCCCTGTTGGTCGGTAGTAGCGGCAAACCCCATCTCTTCCCGAAATTCAACCGAGAGGCCGTTGTTGTCGACAAGAATGAGAAGACAGCATCCAGGGTTGCCGCTTTTTGGCAACTCTGTTTCAAGAACCTGTACAAGGAATTCAAGTCGCTGTCGGATTCACTCAATGCAAAGCTAACTTGCTATCATGGCCGAAAAGGCGCAAGCCAATTACTGGCTGAATCAGACTCAGGAGGTCTTGCACAGGTCTTCCGAACAGGATGGGAGTTAAGATCTACACACTCCCTCTTTGACTACGTTTTATCCAGTAAGACTTTGACAAACAAAGCCGGCAAAGCTTTGAGTGCATGGACCGAAGCCTCCGATGTGTTACCGCCAACCTTAAAGTCAATTCGAACGAGTCCCAAGTTGTTAGACGGGTTCGTCACGTCACTGTTTGGTGAAGACCGCGATGAACTATGGCCCAGAAGCATCCGGAATGTATTGACAGCCTCTCTGCTGAGATTCTACGACGACTTTGTCCGTGCCATTTCCCAACACCCCGATGACAGGTATGATGATATCACCAGGCACCCTTTGATCAATAGCATCAACCGCTCCATCAGATTCTCTAATGCCAACCATGAGATCTTCACTGCCTGGTGCAAAGAGGTTCGGCAAGGCTTCCTGACGGAGAATTTCCTTGCCATCCCACCCGAGTTCCTATCACCAAACGACCGTCGCGATATTGGCGACATCAAGGTCGACCCTCGCTCCCTGTTTGAGCATTACTCCCGACTTATCTCACAATACAACAGCCTCTTTCAACAGAAGATGGTCCTAGAAGAAGATGTCAACCGTCTCCGTGGTGATGTTGCAACGCTCACACAAAGTGTACAACGCCTCGAGAAAACCAATGCCGACCAGAATGCTATCATGTCCAGGCTAGCCAACATACTCGAGATCAAGTTTGACAGGCAGACGAAGAAAGCAGCCCCTCCGCCCCCCACTGACACAATGTTTTTCTCTGACAGCAGGAAACGTTGGAGGAGCGATCTCTCCATTGCTGAACAGTTCGTCCGTTATTTCACTGACAACTGTCTCGAAGGCTGGGAATTGGAGAAACAGAGTTCGGACTGGCAGAAGAAGTCACCACCTGAGAAGAGGAAACTCGTTGGGCAGTACAGGCGATTGAAGAAGGTAATCAAGACCATGCGATGAGTGGAAATCCACGTGAACTCCCATTGTGGTGCGAAGCAGCTGTGCTGGTTTAGCCAGGTGGAAGAATCGCTGTGACATCTGTATACTCCAACAGTAGGGTCAGCAGTGCAGCCATCTGGCAATACAGAAATAGCTGAGGAACTCTATATACCCAAGGATGATGCAGTTCTTCAGCCAAGACCAATATAGAAAGTTAGCTTGCCAGCACCAGCCAAATGAGATGCAAGAGAGCCAAAGCTGCATGGCTGAGTGCTGTCGAGGATTTCGTGTTCAGTTGATTTTAGCATAGTTTAAAGAAGAAGAAGTAATGAAAGGATAGTTGACCAGATACAGCCTCAGTAGCACTAGTTTCCCCACAGTTGAAGCCTTCCTGTGTGGATTGTGCCAAGGCAAAGAGTGAGTTGTTCAATCATTGCTGTGGAGATTGAATAGCAGCGGCAGCCAGCTTTGTGGCTGGCCCATTCCCACTGTCAGAGGAGTGAGGCTCCAAGCAGAGCTCTCCACTCCAGCCAGCTCTTTGTGCATCTACCCTGACTGGATCTCATCGGATTAACATTGTCGCAGATTGCAGGCACAAGAGTGGCATAATCGAGGAGGAAGAAGAGAGGAAGAAGGAAAATCGCGATAACGACTGCCGATCGGCCGATCGACCGAAAACTGGAATCGCGACCGTTTCGAGTGGAACCACCTGGTACACCTACTAACCTGAGGCTCCTCTACAAGCTACCATCATCAGTTGCTTGTTAACTCCCTTGGTTACGGCGGCCGCTAGTGGAAGGCAACAGGCACATCATTGTCGACTTTCCTTTACGGAGATTTCTCAGTCGTGCCTCCGGAGTGTACTGCGGTGAAGGGAACCGGTACTCACACGGTACTCACAAAACCGGTACAGAACCCACCTCTTCCGAGTGACGTTTGTTCCGAAAGCAAGCCGGCACATCGTGCGATCAACGCTCTCACATTTTCCTCGGAATTCCGAACTCGGAAGATACCTGTTGAAGATACGTGTTGATTCAAGGTGTCGATCAACCACTCCAAGGGCAACTCGCAACACCACGAGAGCACCTTCTGAACCGTTTCGAAGGGTTCCAAGGGTATCACTGTGTCAAGCAACCTCTGGTTAGTCATTGACTAGCAGTGCAAGACCTCAAGTCTACATTTGGATTTTTCGTGACAGTGTTTGTTCAACACCTCTACACCACACTCAGCCAGCACAACCACAGCAGTCATCATGGGTACCAGCAGAAGCAAAAGGAGGAAGAAGCAGCAGCAGCAGCGCCAACAGCAACAGCAACAGCTGCAGCAACAGCAACAGCAACAGACACCACCACAGGATGTGGCAACACCGTTGGCAACGAATACACCACCGGTGCCACCACCACCACCACCGGCAACACCACCAGGTAGCACTGAACCACCACCATCCACTCCTGTCAAGTCACCAGTGGATCCACCCTCAGTCCACCGGCTACCTGTGGTTCCCCCACCATCTTACCAACTCAGTGGATCATCTGTTGCATCCTCCAACCTTGCCAAGCATGATACCACCATGATTAGCAACAGCTAGCACAACTGGTGGAGGCACTGCACCAACAAAAGGAGGAGACCATGGAGCGCCAGGCTGCTTTTGAGGCCAGGCTATCCCAACAACAAACAGGACATCAACCAGTCTAGTGTTCCATCCATGGCTTGGTCCACACCTTGATGGACCAAACCAACAAGCAACTTGGCCTCATGGTATTGGAGGAATCAGCCCTATCCTTCCAATGCATCCTCTTCATTGGATCACCATCCTAATGGTTTACTGCCCATGCGACAAGGTTGGAAGGAACCACTGGTTTATAGCACAGTCTAAGGCAGTTCAGAACCAAATGGTTTGGGTTCGGATTTATGAGTGATGTTGAGGACCATCTTGGTCCTTTTTCCATCTCTTTTCTTTTCTTTTTTTTTT